CTGTTTCAGGATCACTAGCAGAGGTAGAGCATAGGAACATGGCAGTAGTTGGTTGTGAGTTGACATGGCTTAGGTATGTTTTCGATGATTTGCAAATTTCTCATCCACAACTTGCTGAGTTATTTTGTAATAATCAGGCTGCTTTGCACATCGTAGCCAATCCAGTGTTTCATGGGCGAACGAAACACATTGAATTGGACTACTATCGATGTGTGACAAAATATAAGAGGGTAGGTAGTGCGACTACAAAACATGTTAGAATTGGCTTTCAGATTGCTGGTATATTGATTAAGCCTCTCTATTTGTCCAAGATGGGAGTAGAAGACAATTGTTCTCCATCTTGTGAGTATCCGATGAAATTAATAAGAGATGGATTTAGAGTCTCGATCCGATAACTCAATTAAGATTCGAATTCTATAATTTATTAGATGAAGCAAATGTGAATAGAGGTCAACCCGATCCGATTTGTTATAATAATATAATATATTTTATATATTATCACAAAATTTATTACACATAATTTTTTCATTTTGAAACTTGTATTATGTTTTATACATAATAAATAATATTAAATAATAATATAATATTGTTGAAATATTTGGAGAGTTTTTAATTTTTTTATTAATTAAAATAAGATAAAAACAATAATTAATTTATTTTATAAATTAAACAACCAAATGGGGCAACAGTTGGAGTTGCTTTCATTGTTCCTAACTTCTCACTTCCCACATCAGATACTCACTAGAGCATCAAGGATTAGCAATCTATAAATAGGTGGGCCAAGAATTGGATAAAAAGCTATTTGGAGCTTTTAATTCTAGAGTTTAAAAGTTGACTAATATAAATTTTTTTTCTTTCTAATATTTTCAATTTTAGATCAAATATCCTATAATATAGCAAATCGGATATGAATTTAACAATCAAATATCCATTGGATTATCGGATTGGATCAGATCGGATATCGATAGATTTGATCCATTTACAACCCTACTTGTGGAAGGCTGTTGAAATTCAAGGCAAGATGATCGAATCAATCAACAAAGTATGCATAAGAGGAAATAATACTCTAATCACTAGTCATCAAAATGAGAAAGCTCTAGAAGGTTACAATTATCAAAATGTTCTAGAAAAAGAGTTAGCTGGATAGATTTCTTTCTGTTATATTATCAGTGTACAACTAGTACACAATATATTTTTGACACCTATATAGGTTTGCTAAACAGATATTTTCCGTAGCTTGTATAAAGTTAGTCAATATTCTTTGAAAAATACCAAGAGAAATACAAAATCGCATATAGCTTTCTTTCCTAATCTTCTTCTTCGTGTTATTAATCTCTTGCTTTGATTCTTGATATTGCTTTATTCGCTTTTGTTTTACATACACATGCATTTATATATACTAAGATCTTGTTTGATTCCCATTTTATCAAAAATTAAGGGCCTGTTCTTTGTGTTTTGAATTCATTTTGGATTTTGTATTTTGAGTGTCCATTTTGAGATTGTTGAAAATGTGTTCTTTTCGATATTTTGAAAACATCCAAAACGCATTTTGAAAATTTTGACTTCATTATAACTGAAAACACCCAAAACGATAAATTTGTCCTTTTGGATTTTCTTTATAAATTTTTAACTTGTTTTCAAAAACGCGTTTTCGAAAATAGGAAAGAGAACGCGTTTTCACCGTTTTGAAAAATCGAAAATAGAAAACGGTTTGAAAATGGTAGCACTACAAGTTTAAAAAATCACTTATTCAATTTTTATTTTTATTTTAAATTCACTTGAGACAATTTTTTTAAACAGTATTATAGAATTATGTGACGAAGCATCTATCTCCAAAGGTAACTAATCATCAAAATTCCATCCCATTTCTAACATCAACAATTTAAAAGAAAATATCTTAAAATTTGAAAATCAAGTAGTAACCTAGCCCTCCAACATCATCTAATCGCCTCTACCAAACATGAGTACTTCTACGGATTAATGTTTTCTGCGACAATCTCAAATCCAAACAATATATGATTTTAGCAATTATGATGTTAAGAATATTGAGGTTCATGAAAAATAGCAAACTTCGTGAATATTGAGCTTCACCTAAGTCTAAAGATGCTAAGTATATTTCCAAAATAAAACCTCGAAATTTACAAAAAAAATAAAAAAAAAAAAAAATATGTCAGTTAATTCCTTTCATAAAAAAACAGTCAATTAATTATGATCTAAAGAGTGTCAAATAATTTCCATTTTATAAATATGAAATAATTAACTATTGTTATGTAAAAAAAGTATAGCTTCAAATTAAACATCACAAAACTTAAGAACGAACTTTTAAAATATCGTAAAATAACCAAAAAGAACAACTTGTTATGTATCCTTGAATTTTAAGGAGACACGAAACCAAGTTTGACGGATGAGTTAACGATCACTTGACTAGAGCGCGATTAATAGCTCTATGATCACGATGACTTCAAGCGTTTTCTTAACCACTTCAATTCTATTTTCGTGTTTCTTTTTATCGTCGGAAGAGGAAACTCCCAATGTAAATAATTGCTATAACAAATTGTGTATAATATCATGTCCCTTCGTGGCCCCTGGACTAAATATAATCCGATATATTAAAAAGATACACATATAATAAGAATATCTATATACTTTTTCATACCGTAATGAACATTTCATACACGTTAGAATGTAACGTATACGTATGAACAATAGCCTATGGACTCAAAAGAATAGGAAACACATTGCTAATAATATTTGTTGGCGTATACTAAACAAGATAGGTACCATAATATCGTCAAATTCAATCCAACAACAATAAATTTGTACGTCTTCAAGCAAGAAAACTATGTGTAGTTAGATGTTTTATTCTTCTTGGTGTCTATTACTAATAAATTATACATTCCAAGATATTAGATTGTGCATCTTAATGTTAAGAATTGAGGTTCCATTTTAAAATGTTAATCTTAATAAGAAGAGTAACACAATCCTTTATAAATTGATCTGTGTTTTCATTTTTATTCGATGTGAGATTTTTATCCCTTAACATGTCCCCGCAAGATGGTGACTCGTTTGAGCAGACTAATCTTGAAATCCGTATGCTCACTTTTGGAGTCTTAATCGGATCAAATTGCTCGTTAAAATTTAATGAGCTCTGATACTATATTAAGAATTGAGGTTCAATATTAAATCTTAATAAAAATTATTACATACATAATCGATAACAAAAATTTATAAAATTAGTATCTTCATAGGGTGCTCTCCGTGACAAGGGTGTAAAATTAATAGTAGCAATTAAGCTATACCTTGCTCTAGAAGTAATCTAGTGGGTAGGATTCTTCAATGGTTTTCAAAAAGCGACTCATTATGGAGGAAAACCTTGCATTAGATGGAATACAAGCTTTTTGGCCGTCGGTCTTTAAATCCTTTTATTAGATTCTCTAGAAACTTAGACTCACTTTTGAGTTAATCAATTCAAAGTTTAAGACAATAGAAGACTAATTCCAAGTCTACGTTAACTTAAACATGTCGTGCAACCATATGTATTTCGATGAGTCAATCCACTCAAAAGCACAAATTGAACTCAAAGTCGTTCCCGAGTATAGACAGCATGGATTATCGATCTTGCTACTTGTACATC